TATGGCTGGAAGAAACCTCAGAGCCTAATAAATCCATTCACCTCATTATATGAATGAGGAAACTAACCTCCATCCCCCTGGAAAGTCTGAGTGATTCACCCAAAGTCACAGAGGCATTGGCTGACCAGGATCAGAAGTCAAGTCTGTTGATTCCTTGTCAGTGATGTTTAGAATTAAATGGTGTTTTATTACAGAACAACATTTTCAAACGTGTTCAGTTATACGTGGTACATATAATTATTTTTTAATTGATCAAGATATCCCACTTCCTTACTGTGCTAATTAACTGTATTTGTTTTAGGCTAGATCATAATATTGAATGGTAAGGTTTCATGTGAGCTAGAACTGGTGGCTATATTAACTCCCCAGTCTGTCCATAGATGCGAGAGCCATGTGACCCTGCTCCCTGGAGTTTCTCACAAGAGAAGAAATCACATGGTCCAGATGTTTCCTTTGCTAACTAAATTTCATTGTTTCTTCCCAAGTTTCTCTTTCACTCCTTTTTAATCGTGTAGATCTTAAAAAGAATGGCAATCAGGATCTTTATTATTGAAGAAACCGTAAAAAGATAAGAACTCTAACCATTTTATGTGTTTAAATAAAGAAGACTCCTTAGGATAGAAAGGTATCATTTTAAAATATGTTGAAGGACAAGTGAGAGTCCAAAATTACTTTTGTGTGCCTTCTTTTGATCACATAAGGTATCGTTAGTTTTATTGCTTTACTGAAATGTCTTCTGGCAGTCCTTATAATATTTTCATATTTTATTATAGTCACTCTTCTTAGGAATTTTTAACTCAACTGTTTTAATTTGCCTATGGCTGAAATTTGACCTACAGATATTTGGCTTAGAGATAATTCATCAAACATAGCTCATCTTTAAAAGGCAATAATTAATATTATATCAGGTGCTAATACTTCTTTAAAATGTTAAACAGTTTTTTTTAATCTTATACATAAAGTGACCAGAAACATTATAGGAGAATGAACATTTAAAAAGTGTTATTGAAAAAAAAAAGTGTTATTGAATAGAAATTTCAAAAAAAAGTTATTGTACTTTAAAAAGTTATCGTCCCATCTTTAATTGATCATAGATTAGGGTAAGAGACTTCATTCATTATGTCAAATTACTATTGTGTCCCTAATGACAATTTGTAGGAACATAAAGTGAAAGTGAAGTCACTCAGTCATGTCCGACTCTTTGCAGCCCCAGGGACTATAGCTACCAGGCTCCTCCGTCCACGGGATTTTCCAGGCAAGAGTATTGGAGTGGGTTGCCATTTCTTTCTCCAGGGAATCTTCCCAACCCAAGGATCGAACCTAGGTCTCCCACATTGTAGGCAGATGCTTTACCATCTGAGCCACCAGGGAAGTCTCATAACATAAACAGAACATAAACAGAACATAAACAGAACATAAACAGGAACATAAACAGAATATAAACCTATATCTTGATCTATAAGTTCATAACCCTTTCCTTTTTCCCCTTAGACTTTTTTTTTTAAAGGTAATTCTGTCTTTTTGAAGTACCACTGAAATATTTCCCAAATTACATTGGTCCTTCAATAATTGACTTTCTTACTGTTGAGGTCATAGTTATCTTTTACTTAGAATATAGCAGGGGGGTTTTCTACTGGCTCCCTTTTTTTTTTTTAACTTTTACTTCTTTATTTTATTTTTGGTTCTGCTGAGTCCTCATCGCTGTCTGAGGGCTCTCCCCAGTTGTGGAGAGCGGAGGCTGCTATCCAGTTGCGGTGCGTGGCCTTCTCACTGCGGTGGTCTTCCTCGTTGCAGGGCACAGACTCTAGGCTCATGGGCTTCAGCAGTTGTGGTCCACAGGCCCAGTCCCTCTGCAACACGTGGAATCCTTCTGGAACCCCAGGGTTGGAACCCGTGTCCCCTGCATCTGCAGGCGGAGTCCCATCCACTGTACCACCAGAGGAGTCCCCAGCTCCCTCTCTTACCATCTTGTTACCGTTCCTTGAGAGGGAGAGACTGTTCAATCACTGTCTCTCTGCTCCTTCTTGCACAGTGTCAGACACAGTGGGTGCCCACAGACCACACGCAGGAAATGGGAAGTTTGGTGTCTTTGTTCATACTCCTTTGCTTGCTTCTTTCTCATCACAGTCCCATAGTCGTCATTGCTGTCCTAAAAGGGACACTTCTGAACCCAGACTTTAGAGTGTCACCTGACTGTGCTCTCCCTCCTTTATTTATTTCTCAAGTTGGTCCTATTCATCCCTATTCATTCAGGTTAATTTTCTCATCTTATTAGTTACAGTTTGCCCTTCAAGTTTTCATTTATCCTGTCACACAGCGTCTTGAGCGTTACTGCCTCTGTGAAGGTGACTCTCGTTTCTCTTGTCCTTCATCACCTTGACACCTTAGCATACACATGGAAGAATCACTGATCTACGTCTGTCTGTCATAGGAAATTCCGAACCCTCATCATTCTGGTATCACATCGTTGTTATCAGATGGCATTTCTTTCTAATGTCATTCCTTTCTAAAGAAACTCTTTGTATATATTGATTAACTTCTCCACTGAGATTAAGTAGGGGAAATCATGCAACCATGTAGATGGGAATCCTTCAGAATCCTGGTCACCAACCTCATTTGAATGTTTGACATGTTTCAGAACATTATAGCTTTACTCCAGAGCCGATTTCAGTGAAGGACAGAGCATACATATTCAATGTTGAAATCGTGCAAAGCAACAGATTTTCTTTTAACAAGCATTCATAAGCACAAATACAACAAAACAATAAAAACATTTTGATGAAATGGTCATAGTCAAGAGATACTGAGGAATCAAGTAAGATTTGAATCAGATTTTGAAAGAAATGATAATTATGATTGGCAGGAGAGAAGTGTTAAGATTGGGAGATATTTCAAATGAAGACATACAGGAAATGTAAAATGAGAGATTGTACACCTCCTTAGAGCAAGACTAATTTTTAAAAACTATTTTCCTTAAAAAAAAGCTATTTTCCTAATTATATATAAAATGATAATTACTTATTGAAAAACATAGGAAAATGCTAAATATGAAAAAGAAAATAAAAATCAACCATAGTCTATCCTGTCTTGTCCAAGGATAACCATTTTAACATTTTGATTAATATCATGTCTATATTCCACAATGGTTTAAATGCAATAACTGATTCATTTCTCAAGAGACCAACAATCTCAAGTTTTAAAACCAAACAGGTCTGGGTTCAAACCCTACTGCTAACACTGCGTAGCTATGTAGCATACATAGCTACATACCGTTGGGTTCCCTCCCCATAAATGAGGATAATAAATATTTTTAGAGTTATTATGAAGATTAAGGAAGGTGATGTAAATAACGTCCTTTATACGTAGTAGATATACAGCATAGTACATCTGTACAGTACCTATATAGCAAATTATATTATTAGTTTGCTCTTATATTTAAGCTAACTGTGACACTTATTTTCTTTAATTTTATGTGGAGTCTGAAGTAATGACTCTTTACAATATTGACAAATTGGAACAACTCTGAACAGAGTATTTATATTATAACTTGTTTTATTACAGAGAAGCTGACTACAAACAAAATATTTAGCAAGTCTGAGAACTGTCAGCCATTCAAGTCTTTTCATTACAAAAGTGAAATTTTCTTTTCTTGAAACACTTTTTGAGTACAACCCATCATCTGAAAAGTTCAACTACCTAAAAAGATTTAAAAATATACAAAAATACAAACTGAATTCATTATTAGTGATATTGGCTGTTGGATTTAGAAATGACTATTGGGAGCTTTCCAGGTGGTTCAGTAGTAAAGAATCTACCTGCCAATGCAGGAGATACAGGAGATGCAGGTTCAGTCCTTGGGTTGGGAAGATTCCCTGGTATAGGAGATAGCAACCCACTCCAGTATTCTTTCCCGGAAAATGCCATGGACAGAGGAGCCTGGTGGACTGTAGTCCATGGGGTCACAAAGAGTTGGAGATGACTGAGTGAATGGGTGCACATGCACACACATTCTGGTAATAGTTAAGCTACTGGTAAGATAGGAGGATATCAAACTCATTGGTATATGGAAATATTGAGGTTTTGTTGTCCTAAAGCATAACTTCCAATGGACATAGCATTATCTACCACTTAGCTTATAGTTTTGGAGACTTTTTTTTTTTGCCTGATTTCAAGTTAATGTTAATTATGGCATATTATAGATAAATAATTTGTTTTCAAATAAAAATTAAACCTTTTACTGCAAAATATTTTAAGATAGGAGAATCCAAGTGTATGAGGAGTTTTGATATTTTAAAATGGTATATCCATGCTTATTCTGTATTTGTAACTAGCTGAGTTTCTGATAAGTCCTGTGATGCCATCGATTGCTATATTGAAATGTTTAGTTAAATGTTTTTCTCTTAAAATCTCTGAAGAAAAATAAAAACTTTATTCCAAAACTACTTTTGTGAAGTGCCAGATAGAACCTATGAGAAATCTTTAGCTGTTTTATTGTATGAGAGGAAATTACTTGCTTTTATTAATAATTAAATAATTAAGGATGAGTGTGTCTATTAGTGTTGTAGCTGCCTTCTTCACATATTAATAGGCCACAGGACGAGACTGTAAAAAATTCTCAGGTCAGCGGTACTAGGTCAGTATGTTGATAGGAGGGGAGGGAGTTGCTGAATTTTCGAAGCAACTACACTTGTTCACGGTGGTCTCTGAGGCTTCACAATATACTCTGCAGCTCTTTGTTACAATGAGAAGTGGATGCTCAGATAGTCTCTGTCTCTTTTCAGTTTTCAAACCATAGAGGTGTGAAAATTAGGTCATACTTCATGAAATTTAAATAACAAAACAGTCTACCTAGATTAAAAATAATCCTACTTCTTCTACTGCTGTATCTTGCCTATAAATCAGAATTAAAAATTTTGGGTTAGTATCACAACTTGAGGGCTTTTGTTTTTTGTTTTCTTTCATTTTGGGGAAACTGACATTTTTTATTCTTATTCCTCAGGATGGATTGGGGAGATGAATATCCCCACAATTCTTTTGACCTACATTGTTTGTTAAATTCATTTCCTGGAGACTTGGAGTTTAAGCAGATCTTCAGTGACATTGATGAAAAGATAGAACAAAATGCTCTCAGGTAAATATTGTTAATTTTAAAGCAAGTTGATTTCATCTTTCCTTTTCTAGAACTTTTATCTAGTCTATGTGCAGTGTTTCCTGCTCTTAGGAAAATTTTAGGTTTAATTATCATTACCTTTCCTCAAAAACTTAATTAGACCCTTCCCTCCAGGATATAAGATGATTTTTCTTATCTGATTACTACTTTAAACAAGGCTAAAAAAAGGCTAAAAATACAGGCACTGCCTTCAAATAGATAAAGTTTGTTGAACTACTGTTGTTGGGGAGGAAGAAATTTTCCTCTTCCCTTCTAGGTTCTTTGCGTAGTCTAATAATTAAATTGAAATGAGACAAATGAATGAGAAAAACTCAAACAAAACTCCCCATATCCATGGGAGAGACTCAGAAAAACTGAGTAGATGGCCAAAATGGCCAACATCTTCATCTTATGCCATTCTCAGCTAAAGGCGAAAGAGGATGTTGAGGGTGGGGAGAATCAAGCATGGAAAAGCATCATGAACAAGGGGGAGGTTGTTGTGCAGACTTAAGTCAGTGCCTCCTCTATTGATAAGAGATTTGGTCATCCTCCGCTGCCTGGTACAGTGAAGGAGATACCTTTACAAATGGAGATTTTTTTGCTTATAAATGTGAATGTTTCTAACGAAAGGGTAACTCCTGTTTGGTTTTCAGATTATTTACTTTATGTGTTTCTTAGAAAACAGACAGCTTGGTATGATTTAATATGCCAAAGAGGCATATTTTAGGGTGGCAAGCTTTGCTCCCCTCAGTTCTGTTCAGTTCAGTCGCTCAGTCATGTCCGACTCTTTGCGACCCCATGGAGAGCACGCCAGGCTTCCCTGTCCATCACCAACTCCCAGAGCTTACTCAAAATCACGTCCAGCACGCCAGTGATGCCTTCAATCTTTCCCAGCATCAGGGTCTTTTCAAATGGGTCAGTTCCTCACATCAGGTGGCCAAAGTATAGGAGTTTCAGCTTCAGTATCAGTCCTTCCAGTGAATATTCAGGACTGATTTCCTTTAGGTTGGACTGGTTAGATCTCCTTGCAGTCCAAGGGACTCTCAGGTCCATATAGTCATAGCTGTGGTTTTTCTAGTAGTCATGTATGGATGTCTGACTCTCAGCCAACTCCGAGAGATGGTGAAGGACAGGAAAGCCTGGAGTGCTGCAGTCCATGGGGTCCCAAAAAGTCAGACACGACTTAGTGACTAAACAACAGCAATGCTGTTCATGATTTCCTGGAGCTTGCCAGTATTGATGGCCTGCGTTTTCATTCATGTGTTAAATGTTATCATCTGATGGATAAGCATGGAAATTAAAATTTTGAAATTAGATATTCTAAAAACGGTAGTGTAGGGTCATGGATTGCTTGAATTGCTGAAAGCAGAACATTAAATTATTTTTATGTAATGATTGTCATATTCAGTCTCCTCACTTAATTGGGAGGCTAGGCAGACCATCTACGTAAGGTTAGTCTTTATCACCTACTCCAAAATTAGTGTTACTGAACGCTGGAGGAGGGACTTCCCTGGTGGTCCACTGGTTAGCAACCTGCCCGCCAATGCAGGGGACACAGGTTCAATCACTGATCTGGGAACTAAGACCCCCACACGCGTTGGTGCAGGGAGGCCAGTGTACCACAAGTACTGAGCTTATACTCTAGAGCCTGTGAGCGGCAGCTACTAAAGCCCGTATCCCTTGGAGCCAGTGCTCCCCAAGACAAGCCACCACAATGAGAAGCCCATGGACTTCAACTAGAGAGTAGCCCCCACTTACTGCAACTAGAGAAAGCCTGTGTGTAGCAACAAAGAGACCCTTACTCTGCATCAAAGACCCAGCACAGCCAAAAATAAATGAATTACTTAAAAATAAACAAATAAACACTGGGGGAAGCAGGCACAGCTAAGCAGATTTCCACCAGTACAGATTCTCTGATCAAAAGGACTTTGTCTTCATACGTATTTGTGGACCCTAGGGTCAGTTCATTAACTGCATTCTTTTTGGCCAAAGATTCTAATAATTCACCTCATGTTGAAACCATGTAACTCAGATTTGAACTTGAACCCATGGTCTTTTAATTAGAATCACTCACCTGGGGTCTGGGCTTACTTGTCTCAGGGCAGAAGGAATTCAGTGAGAGGCAAAGTGATAGGCAAGAAAGTTGGCTTATTAATATAGGATACTTGTGAGAGATGCTGGTTTTAGAAAAGACAGAGGAACCAGAGATCAAATTGCCAACATCCGCTGGATCATTGAAAAAGCATGAGAGTTTCAGAAAAACATCTATTTCTGCTTTATTGACTATGCCCAAAGCCTTTGACTGTGTGGATCACAATAAACTATGGAAAATTCTGAAAGAGATAGAAATACCAGACCACCTGACCTGCCTTTTGAGAAACCTGTATGTAGGTCAGGAAACAACAGTTAGAACAGGACATGGAACAGTAGACTGGTTCCAAATAGGAAAAGGAGTATAGCAAGGATGTATATTGTCACCCTGCTTATTTAACTTATATGCAGAGTACATCATGAGAAATGCTAGGCCGGAGGAAGCACAAGCTGAAATCAAGATTGCCGGGAGAAATATCAATAACCTCAGATATGCAGATGACACCACCCTTATGGCAGAAAGTGAAGAAGAACTAAAGGGCCTCTTGATGAAAGGGAAAGAGGATAGTGAAAAAGTTGACTTAAAGCTCAATATTCAGAAAACTAAGATCATGGCATCTGGTCCCATCACTTCATGGCAAATAGATGGGGAAACAATGGAAACAGTGAGCTCCAAAATTTTTTCTGAGCTCCAGAATCACTGCAGATGGTGATTGCAGTCATGAAATTAAAAGACGCTTACCCCTTGGAAGGAAAGTTATGACCAACCTAGACAACATATTAAAAAGCAGAGACATCACTTTGTCAACAAAAGTCCGTCTAGTCAAGGCTATGGTTTTTCCAGTGGTCATGTATGGATGTGAGAGTTGGACTGTATAAAGAAAGCTGAGTGCCAAAGAATTGATGCTTTTGAACTGTGGTGTTGGAGAAGACTCTTGAGAGTCCCTTGGACTGCAAGGAGATCCAACCAGTCCATCCTAAAGGAGATCAGTCCTAGGTGTTCATTGGAAGGACTGATGAAGCTGAAACTCCACTACTCTGGCCACCTGATGCGAAGAGCTGACTCATTTGGAAAGACCCTGATGTTGGGAAAGATTGAGGGCAGGGGGAGAAGGGGACGACAGAGGATAAGATGGTTGGATGGCATCACCGGCTCAATGGACATGAGTTTGGATGAACTCTGGGAGTTGGTGATGTACAGGGAGGCCTGGCGTGCTGCAGTTCATGGGGTCGCGAAGAAATGGACACGACTGAGCGACTGAACTGAACTGAACTGTGAGAGGTGCAAGCAGGCAGGCAAGGGGGCTCTGCCCTGTCATAGCAGTTGCTTAAGCCAGCAGAAGGATGGTAACATATACTAAAATATGTTGAATCATCTCAGGCTTTTGTATCATGAGCGTTTCCTACTTTGGAATGTGCCCTTCCTTTAAGTTCTTGTCCTTGGTCCTAAGTTGGAGAAGGAAATGGCAACCCACTTCAGTATTCTTGTGTGGAAAATCCCATGGACAGAGGAACCTGGTAGGCTACAGTCCGTGGGGTCACAAGAGTCAGACACGACTTAGCGACTTCACTTTCACTTTGGTCCTAAGTATCTTTCTCTTGCTGAACTCAACCAGCAGAATGCAGGCCTCTTTTTTGGTTTGTTTCACTTAATGACCTGGGGCATATCTTGTGCTTTTATTTATGGTTTTATAGTTAAGAAAGCCTTCTTCATATGCAACATTCTGATCGGTTTCTTAAGCAATCGTTACCATGCAGTGATCTCCCAGAGTCCCCTTGGTTTTCCTCTCTATCTGTAATCCCATCCTGGGACTTCTACAACTGCCAGTGTAACTATCCTACTCTGTCCCTATCAGTGTAGGTTACAAATATGCAAACCACAGTAAAAATGTCTATTATCAAATGGTGTATAGTGTTTCCTTTTTAAAAATTTAAAGTACAGTTATGCACTGTCAAAGAAACTGAACCGAGCAAGTGAAATTTTCCTGCAGTTTTTTCCTCATGCTTAATATGAGAATAGAGTTAACTTTTCATCATAACAATGGGCATAAATAACTTAAGTTCAAAATATAGCCTATATTCCAAAATTTTTTTATAAAAAGCAAAAAAATATCATATTGTTGAGGAATTAGAATTAAAATTAAAATCTTCTCCCATTCTGGGAATCCTCTCCACAAAGGCTGAAGAGAAAGAAAACTCTTCTGTTATTCAGCAGGCTTTAAACCAAAATGTCATAAACATCACAGGTGATCTGCTAAAAGACTGCAAAAGCAGAAAGGAATCACAGCCCTCTGTATAGTCTAGTAGGTCCACCCATTACATGTAATACATGTTTTCAGGAGAAACAATATCTGTTGTAGGAAAAAATGGGGTACAAGAGGATGGTCATGTCCCAGGTCTCCAGTGAGTTCCATATTCTTGGGACAGCCCACCAAGTGAGGATCCTTGGCTTCGTGTAGGAAAGAATTCAAGAGTGAGCCATAATAAAGTGAAAGCAGATTTATTTAGAGAGATAGACCCTCCATAGGCAGTGTGGGGTCTCTCAGGAGGCATGAGCAGTCCTGTTATACGGGGTGGTTCATTTTTACGGGCTGGGTAATTTCATAGGCTAATGAGTGGGAGGATTATTACAAGTATTTTGGGAAAGGGGCAGATATTTCCAGAGATTGGGCCACCGCCCACTTTTTGGTCTCTACGGTCACCTCAGAACTGTCATGGTGCCTGTGGGTGTATCTTTCAGTGTATGCTTATATTTTAAAGTAAACACATAATGAGGCTCAAGGTCTACTGAAGTCTAATCTTCCACCATTTTGGGCCTAGTAGTTTCTAGCTGTTTGTTATGGTCCCCTGTTTTTCTTAATGGTTAGATCACTCTTTTAATGGTTGTGCCC